CTACCAATTTTTTTCATGTGACAGCACCTGATCTTTAAGATACCACAGTGGTTCGTGGGCCAAAAGTTGACTGATACAAACAAAAGTACTTCAACAGAGACAAGTACTGGCAAAAAGTTTTTTCCTTTCTGGTCCAGAACTGCACTCACAGCCTCCATAATCCTCTCAGTTCCTGATCCAGAGTCTGTAGAGGTTATCAAGTTTCTCTGCACTGGTTACAGTGGGATTTGGATCAAGTTTTACAGTAAGATTGTGAAACTAAACTTCATTTTCAGGGATTATGCAATTAAACTTTAATGGGAGCCTATTTCAACCCACGAAGTTCAAACTGCTAGAGATTGTTCCCTGTGAATTTTGCTTAGTGGATTTTTGTCTCTGAACATCAAGAGCCTTAACTGTAAGCAACCCTTCTCATGAGCTCGTATGATAGGGTAATTACATTGAGGGAACCCAAAAGAGGGCTTGAATGGGGCCTGAGCAATCCAAAGGAACTCTTTCCTAACCCATCAAGGACCTTTATCCATTCATTTTCTTTCATTTCATTTCTGACTGTTCATTTATCATGGATTAAAATATTCTTGAATTGACCAGGTTTGGGGATTCACCTTGTAAATGAAGACACTTAACTTTCTAATTGTCTGTATACGAATATGCTGGATGTTTCCTGCTTAGTTTTCAGGTGGTAGTCTGGTGGGGCACAGGTGTGATATTTATCTTGTATCCTGTCTGCCATCCTCAGACATGTATTAGATATCCTAGAGCATCTCAAATCACTCTAGGTATCTCCTTTTAGACAACTGCATTGAGGTGATTGAGTTTCTAGTCAGTAAAAGACGCAGGCATGTCCAATGGGGGATTACCACCTGGATCAGCTGGTTTTCCTGGGGTGAAATGACCTGTCCCCCAGAAATATTGATTGCTCTCCTCCAATGTGCGAGAAGCCTAGATTGTAAAAGATGACTTACAATCAAGTGTGATGAGTTAATGGAGAAACAATTAGGGCAGGGCATTCCCTTCTCCATCACATTCAGGTGACCACCAGATTTTAAGTATTCACAATCAGTTGCCTTTGGTTTGACGGCTAAATTGGACTGGGATGTAATATTGTTTTCTTGTAATAGGATAGCCTGGCACAGGCACTCAAGAATCTTGCTGTGGCAGTCTGAGGGAAGTAGGGAATCTGTTTACCAGAAGGATTTCCTTACAGGCTAGTGCTTGGAAGAGATAAATGGCATCTCTAAGCAAACAAACAAAACTTTAATGTTGGAAGAAATCTGTTGTGACCATGATAAATGACAGAATCACATTATCACTGAGGTTAGAAGATACTTCTGGAGATCATCTCACCCAGCCCCTCTTTCAAAGCACTGTCAACTAAAGCAGGTTGTTCAGGTGTCCAGCTGGGTTTTGGATATCTCCAAGGATGGAGACTCCACAACATGTCTAAGTAACCTGTTCCAGTGTTTGGCCACCCGCACAGTGAAAAAAATTTCTTTCTTATGTCTAAATGGAATTTCCTACATAAATAAATTTAAAAAATAATCCAGTAGAGTAAAGATCAGGCAGCAACGGTCTTTAAATTCCTGGGTTTTCACCAACTGCAAGAAAATTAAAAGACCCTTTAAAATAATTTAACATTTACTGTTGTCAAGGGTTGAGGCTGGGCCAGCCAACAAATGACAGACACTCTCTATTAACCCCTCTCCCCTCCCAGAAGGGGAAGGGAGAGGGAACAAGGGAGAGAGACTTCACAGTTTGGAAAAGAAAATTAAAACAGCTTTAGTGAAACAATAACAAAAACAATAACAAAAATAAAACCAATGCAAACCCAATACTGAACCAAACTCCCCCCACCCTGATGACGATACGTCACCACCACGCTGCAGGGCTGGCACTGGGGCAGTCCCAGGCTGGACTGGGCAGCAGACAGGGACGGGATTCAGGAGCTGGACTCAGGGACGCACGGGTCGGGATCGACGACAGAAGGACAGACAGAGCCCTCCTCAGATGTCACCATCGAAGGAGAGAGATTGACCCTTGTGACCCCTCAGCTTTACACTGACCATGCCATCCGTGGGGTGGAACACTCTGTGGGTCAGGTTTGCGTCCCCTGGCCGGTTCGCTCCTCTCTGCAAGGGAGACCTTTTTCACTCCCACACCCCAACATGGGGTACAAGATTCAGCAGTGACCTTGGTTGCTATAAGAACAACTATAAGCAAGAGCCTTTCTGCATCCCATTCCCTGGTACTAACTGTAAACATCAGGCCCTGTCACTGCTGGGAGCAGTCGCTGTCTGGAAAAACATGCTGGTGGTTTCAGAAAGTGCAGTTACAAGAGACTTAACTGAAAAGTAAAAGCACCAACACAGAATTAGTTCTGGTTTAGTTCATACCAGGAAAACTGTAGTGATAGTCTCCCTGCTTCAGGACAGACCTATAAGTTCCATTACTGGTTTTGCTTATATTGAGATTATGCCACATTTGATATCACAGAGCTAAAGTTATGACTGTATTCCTAAAAGAGCGATTAACAGCAGAAACTCATTGAAATAATATTGTCTTCAAGAAGGAGCACAGGCCTGGGACTCTGGAAACCGATACTCAATATTCAGCTCAGATGATGCTTCCTGATAGCCATTGGGTGTCCACGTTGGCTGGAGTTATTCTGCCTTAGTTTAGATGTCTACATCTCTCCTAATCATTCCAAGGTCCTTTTATACCAATGCAGAAAAAGACACCTCCAGAGCATGATTTGTCTCACAGTAGAAGAGATGTACAATACAGGGTACAAGAATCACCCTTTCTACATGGACTATACAGCCTTGGTTGACTAGCTCAGTCCTACACACCAAACTTTTAAATGTCCAAGATCTGAGGCAAAAATCATGGAATCACAGAATCATAGAATGGTTTGGGTTGGAAGGGACCTTAAAGTTCACCCAGTTCCAACTCCCTGCCTTGAGCAGGGACACCTTCCACTACACCAGGTTGCTCCCCCACCCCCCATCCAACCGGGCCTTGAGCACTGCCAGGGAGGGGGAAGCCACAGCTTCTCTGGGCGACGTGGGCTAGTGCCTCATCACCCTCACAGGGAAGAATTTCTTACTAATATGTGATCTAAATCTCCCCTCTTTCAGTTTGAAACCATTACCCCTCATCCTATCACCACACCCCCTGATCAAGAGTCCCTCTCCACCTCTCCTGTAGCCCCTTTTCAGCACTGACAGGCCTCTCTAAGGTCTCCCCGGAGCCTTCTCCTCTCCAGGCTGAACAACCCCAACCCTCTCAGCCTGTCCTCACAGGGGAGCTGCTCCAGACCCTAATCATCTTTGTGGCCTCCTCTGGACCCTCTCAAGCAGGTCCATGTCTTTCTTGTGCTGGGGGCCCCAGAGCTGGACGCAGCCCTGCAGGCGGGGTCTCACCAGAGCAGAGGGGCAGAATCCCCTCCCTCGACCTGCTGCCCACGCTGCTCTGGATGCAGCCCAGGATGTGATTGGCTTTCTGGGCTGCAAGAGCACATTGCTGGGTCACGTTCAGTTTTTCATTTACCAACACCCCCAAGTCCTTCTCCACAGGGCTGGTCTTGATCCACTCAGTGCCCAGCCTATATTTGTGCTTGGGATTGCCCTGACCCAGGTGCAGGACCTTGCACTTGGCCTTTTTGAACCTCATGAGCTTCTCACAGGCCCACCTCTCAAGCCTTCCCTCCAGCACGTTGACTATACCACACACCTGGGTGCCACTGGCAAACCTGCTGAGGGTGCACTCAACCCCACTGTCCGTGTCACCGACAAAGATGTTAAACAGCGCCGGTCCCAATACCGCCCCTTGAGGAACACCGCTGGTCACTGATCATCACTCGGACATCAAGCCATTGGCTGTGACTTTTTGAGTGTGACCATCCAGCCAATAGTCCGACCATCCAGCCAATCTAAGCTAATCAGCAAATTTAGCTATTATTTTCCTGTCCTTTGTTATCAGCATTTACAGAAGGATGCCTGTTCCTTGTTTTTCACAACTTTTCCAAGAGAGATGATGGTATTATGTTCCTTCATAGAAGTTGCTTATAAAAGCATGGCCTATAGAAGCCTAGGTCCCAGAACAGACCACTTTGTTGTAAGCTAACTCCTGAGGGTCAGACTAGGATTGTGCTTGGAGAGTCACATCTCAGCCTTGAACAACATCCCATTTGCTGGAATTCACACAGTCCTCTCTGCAAGACCATTCCCACCTCTTACCTGTCCTGAACAGCAATTCAACATCAGATTATTTCCCCATAACTTAACTAGATCTCATATTTCATCTCTTTCTCTGGGGCTCACGTGTTTCTGAAATACGAATACATATCGTGTCTGCTTTTCGCTGTGGTATTATTGCCAAACCTTGCCATCTTACCTCTCAAGCCACCTCACCAATTTTCTGTTTGCTGTCCTGTTTCCTCCCCCAGCATGAAAAACAATGGCAGAAAGTGCACGGAAAATACAGTTTCACAAGACATGATAACTCTTTGTCTGGTGGTTGTTACGTCCAAACAGAAGAACAGGATCGCTTCTCTTGCAGGACAGCAAAACAAAACTCCTGGGTTTTATGTTGTTTCCTAATTGTAAACAGTGTGATGCAGACTCCAGAAAAGACAGGGGAAATTCTGCCACTGGTTGAAACGGGGCCAGTATTTCACACAGCACATTCAGGACCAACAGCAGACACTGGCATGCCTGCAGGTTCAGGATCTGATCCCTTCACATTAGAAATAATTTTTATATATCCCTTAAAAAGGAGCAAATCTGAGAAGCAACGCAAGGGCCTCATCCTGGGATACATTGAGTGAGCTGCAAGTTGCTAAACACCTAAGAGGGGACATAGTATTTAGAGATAATTCAGCACTAGTAAGAAAATGCCATATTGATTGTCCTGAAGACAGATGTCCGCTACGTAGCCCAGGCAGCGACGTGTTGTTGAGAGGATGGGATTCATGCAGCAGTGTGGGAAAGCTCTGCGAGATGACCTGTTATCCCAGCTCCACGGCACTGTACTGCCCTGACAGAGTGGACATTGCATTGAACCAAATCAATGTAAGAAAAATTATTTATTTAACCCTTAGGAAACATTCAGCTGTATTTACAACTACCAAAAGGTTTTTAACAATGAAGCACTACGAAGTGCTGCTTTCCCGAATTTAGATGAGTTTCTACAATTGTTAATTCAAAGAGATAAATTTTGAAAGATATTAGGAAGAAAAGCTATGTTATAGGTATAAACACTGCTAAGAGCTGATGATCCCAGAAATACTACATGACAGACTCTTTATTTTGAGTCATGTGACACAAGCGTATTCCATATGAAAGGGTTTGGTTTGTGCAGTATATATAAATTCAATAACTCGGCTGGCTCAGCTCCATTGATTCCTGAAGCTGTGTCATTAGCACCATCTATTTTCTGCACACACAACACAGCAGTGATGAGTGTGATTGAAGTATCTCTACACAGACACAGTACTGTGTGAGAAAATGTCCTGGGCAAAAAATAGCTTTCACTGAAAAAATGTCCTTATAAATAGGAATAGTTCCTAAACTTAGTGAGGCTTTAGAGACAGATTGTTTTACAGGGTCAAAACGGATTTCATGTCTATTTTTCGTTCTTCTCTCCCTCTTTTTCCTTTTCACTTTCTCCCTTTTTACCCTTGCTTTTTTCCTACTTGTATAGAAACAAAGTGAAAGATCTCACTAAAGGAATAAAAAAGGAAAAAAGAACAGGAAAGTAAAGAAGGAAAAGAAACATACAGGTGGCAAAAACCTACTCAAAATATTTCATTTATTACATTATAGGCTTTCTATAATCTTTTTAAATAAGCTAGAAAGATGTTTACTTTAGAAATACATGGACCAGAAGTGGATTTGTTGACAAATGTCAAGCAGTAGACATAGACAGACTGAGATTTGTGGGTTATTTTCTGTTCCTATTTCATGATGTGCACCACATAGACTCAGCAGTTTTGTTGCTTTACACACAGTGGTGCTTAATGTAAGCTTTACAGAGTAGAGCCTCTCTTACTGTGGGTTTTTATCAAACACAATGGGCCTCAGGTTGCAAGTGTTGTTATAGCGCAAACGGTAAATAAAAAATGATGGGATTTTAGTGTATTCCCACTAAAAAGATGACGCCACATGTTTTACTGTAAGAAAAATTACCAGAAGTGTTTAACTGGATCTTGAATGTGATTCTGTCTGTCTCTGTCTTGTTCTCACACCCTCCACACATTAACCCTCCTCTTATTTGCACAAGATCCAGCACTGTTATCTCAGTACCTCTCAAAGCCCCAGAGATACTCATCTCAGAAAACCTCAGAGGCATTTCACAAACTAAGGACTTGGGCTCTAAAGGGGGGCTGATTCTTCATTCCTTTGCTATGGAAATATTTAGAGAATGAGGTCCTTTCCTTCACGTGCTGTTATGCCAGGCACGTGTTACAACTGCAGAACTGTCATCACAGCTCCTCTGAGATTTGTTCTCTTCCATACTCAGTTGTTAGTTAAAGGGCTGATGATTAAGTGACACAGTGAGGTCAGAGTGCATGTTATGGCCAAGATATTGCTCAGCCGACCACCCATGCTAGCTAACATCTAGCATAGTCACCTCTTATTGGTGAGTCACCATATGCTCTAGAGATGTTCTCCTGACGTGGCAGTCTGAGGAGTAAGGAACACCCTAGCTGCGTTGTGGAGACTCCAGACAGCACAAAGTTGCCAGATGGTGGCCACTCTAAAGCCCTCTCAGACAACAAGAGAGCCCTCTCAACCTTTTAAAGCCAACAATTGGTTTACCTGAGAGCTTAACTTCAGACTTACAAATAAGGAATTGCAGAAGCAAGATGGAAGAGGGGTCCAAGCTTTGTCTACCCAGTGCTCATCATAAGACTGATTCCTGCTCCTTTAGATCCTAGGCAAATGTAGTATTTGGGCAAAAGTGACTTTCTGCCACGTCTAGCCCTGCTCCCTGTTGCTAGCTGCAGCTAAGATGAAGGACTTGGTCTGTAATCCAGACACGGGTCATGAGGTGAAGATGAAGAGGCAATGTGTAAGCCTGAGTTCTTGTGGAGGAATGGAGAGTCCTTTACAGGCAATTACCACACCAAGAGACAATGATGTCCCACATTGTGCAGCATTGAGACAATACTCGAGGTAATATTTGAGCTAGTATTTGACGTAGCATTAGGGGCAGTTACAGTTCTTGTCTCTTCCTGAGCAGAGGAAAGAAAACTAATGGTCATCTGGAATGTAGCATTTACCAGGTAATAATTGCTGTTCCATACAGGAATTAGAAGAATTAAAGAGTATAATTCTGTGTAAGGGAAACTGAGAAGCCTCCAGTTCCACCCCCTTCCTCACTACCACATTGAGTATACCTAGATCTTTCACAGAAGATGTAAAACCTTGTAATAAATGAGATATCTTCCCCCTTAGGCAATCTCTCCCACTCCTTCCCTATCTTAGGAGATCTAAAGCATAGCAGAGTCTCTCTTTCAATGGAAGAATACTGCAATAGAGCCCACCAACAGGCTCTGTTAGACCCTGAAGTCCTCTAGAACCATGTTTATTTTAGTTTAGGCAACATCTGAAAGTCAATTGCCTCTGGACCTGGGAGGTAAAACCTCATTCTGCTCTATCAGCTCGTGGTGATCCACTTATTCTTCTCTTTCTAGATCGACAGCATGCAGGCTCTGCTTCACTGCCCCAATGTGCTAGTGTGTGTCGGCCGGGAGCCATTTAAACCTGTATCGATGGAGAATTTGAGGAAACACTCGGTGGAGAAGCTGCCTGACCTGGCTCCCCGTTCCAACGGCAACAATGTCAATGAAAACAATGAAAGTAAGAAAAACCCTGGGGCATACTGCACAGTCATCTCCAGGCCTGTGTCCCACAACATGGAGATTACAGACATCTATTGTGCTGCCTCAACATGCAGATTTCACGTGGAAAATGTACTTTCCTCTCTCTGCCTCCCAGGCCTTTCCATCCTCCCCTTCTTTTTCTCTGGTTTCCTTCTAGGATTTCCTCCCTACACCCTCCAGTCTTTCTTTTACATGGTCCCTGTGTCTGGCTGACTTCCCTTCCTCTTTCATATCTCTGTGTCTCCTTTTCCTTCCAGAACTCCCTCCTTTCCTGTGTCTGCCTCTAAGACTCCCCAAACCCTTGAGATTTCCCACGAATCCTCCATCCCCTTGTCTGTCTGTCATATAATGCCTGTACTTCTGCATTTGCCTGCGCCCAGACCAGAGGATGCCCTGGTTTTCTCAGCAGGAGACTCAACTTCTCAGACACTGTTATACTTTCTCTGAATGACTTATAACTTCTCAGGGTATGCAGGGCATTTTGAACTCCAGACAACTAACAGCTACCTGCAGAGTAGCCCTTTGGAAAAAAAGCATGTTTTTATGGAAAGGTTATGTTCAGGAAGGAGTCTGTTACAGGTTATCAGGATGATATTTCTTAGGCACTTCATCATGAGTTATCTGAAGTCACAAGTAATTAAACCAGCCACCCTTGGTAGCCTATGGAGAGAAACTTCCCATTTCCAGGGGATAATTAATCTCACCTATATCAGGGATTTGTTTTAGGATGAGATGAAGTGTGCTCTGGAGGAGCACCTGTTTCTCTCCATTGTCAATACCAGCAGCCAGGAAAGATTCACTCATGTATTGACAGCTAGTTGTAGAAACTTAAGGACAGAGGCATCCCATACTCACTGCTTGAGACATAAAAAATTGGAGGAAGCAGTGGGAATAAACTGAAGATTTGTACAGCAAGAGACTGAGCAAATATATCAGTTCAAATGCATAAGGATGGTTAGATAGAAGCTATTTCATGTGTTATTGAACTTGGTTGGCGTGAGCCCTGTCGGACACTTCCTTCCTAAAATGCCCTTCCATTCCATTGCATATCCATGTGCCCGCAGAGCCATGTGGTTGTCTAGATATATAAAATAAACTTTGAACAAACATATACATTAGAAACAAGATAGATGCATATCTTGCAAGACAGCATGATAGCAATGTACTTTGCTTGAAATGAAAGGTCTAGGAGCTTAGTAAATCTGTGCAGCTCACTGCACTGGGCCACAGGATCGTCCTTCAGATTATGATTCTTAAAATTCCCTTTCTATCACTGAATTCCTCCAACTACCACTATTTCTTTTTTTGTAACTATCACCAGCTTACTTACATTTGTCCTTTATGTTCATAGTAGCACATCCCTGCAGGGACTGAGGGCTGCTCTGGTCTACATGGCCACACATGTGTTTCCTGGCATGTGAGTGGAGACGTGGGTGATGCAAAATAAATGTGTGACACTTGACCTCTAACTAAGGAAGAGGGTCACTTCTCTGTGTATTTTTCCCTGACTGAACAAGAACGATGAAAACTCGCGCAGTTAAATAAAGGGATATTTACAATGTGATAAAATACAGAAACTCAGAGAATAAATTACTTTCTATATTTTTTTTCCTGACATGCATGTAATACAACAAAAAAAAGTGTTTGTTTTTCAATTTAGATTAAAAAAAATTATAAATCTAAGGTATAGAACATTTTAATACAGACTATTAATTCAAAACTTTATATTTATGGCCATCATTTAGCCAAAGCCAAATTTTAAAATTATGTAAACTGGCATAAGCTTGGCTTTGTTGGAATAATATCAGTACTGAGTAGTTTGAGGGTTTGATCTACACATTTTGCCTCATCTTTACATGAGTTAACATTTCTCCCCATCTTTCTTTTCTTTACTTTTTTCAAACTCCAGTGAACTTTGGACTGAAAGCCAAAAAAAGTGTTATTCATCCACGGTCAGCATCAAGCAATAGGTCAATGAGATTTTCTTTGTCATCAGAAAAGTCGTATCCTAATGGTCTCGCTACCTCACCGGATAATGGTGCACCTTTCTCAAACAGTTTCTCACATTCAAAACCTGGGGACCTGGTCCATTCCTTGGTCAATGATGACATAGAAAAACGGGTACACGTGAACAAAGATGGTAGCCTGTCTGTTGAGATGAAAGTCCGCTTCCGCTTGCTAAATGATGAGACTTTGCAGTGGTCCACCCAGATCAAAAAGTCCAATCTGATGAACCAGATGCCTTGTGAAGAGTCAGGTGTAGAGGAGGACACTGGAGTAGACCCCATACAGAAAATGAACCCAGAAGCCAGCTCAGAGGCAGATGAATCATTATATCCCTGTGACATTGATTCTTACATGTCAAAACTTGAGGAATCAGAATACGATGAGGCACATTGTCATAGCTGTGGAAAGAAACACCAGAACTATGACATTTGGAAAAACCCCATGCACACATCCCAGAGGGAAGAGCCCAGTGTACGAAGCACCTGGCACACACGGTCATCATGCTCCAGCACATCTTCCCGGAGGAGAGTAGTCCACAAAAAAATGGCTTCTGTGGATAGCCTCCACACCACATCCAGTGAGGAATTCTCTGAGCACATTGTACAAGAGTCCTCATCCTACTCAGAGACTATAGAGAACAGAGTGGCATATAGATCCATTAAAAAATGTATGTGTCGAAGTGATTTGTCTACAGGTGCTTCCAATGGAGAAGACCATCAAGAATACACTCGGACAAGCACAAGCAATAGTCAGAGACCTTCATCGTTGGACTTAATGTCACATTCAAGCTGTGAAAACAACCTGGATACTAAAGAGGCCCCTGAAGAACATGAGGCCAGCAAAACCAATTCACAAAATGAAGATGAAAATAGTTTTGAAGTTTCCTCTGTGAAGTGCTTAAAGGATGATGTGGAAGAGGTTGGAAGTAGCAGAGTCGGGAGTGTCATGTCAAGGTCATCTCTGCAGTCCAGACAGAGCAAGAAGAATGTGTGTGAGGAAACAAGTAGCGTGGGTAGAAGCATGTCCTCCTCAAGCCTCCAGAAGGCAAGGCAAGAAGATAATACTAGGTGCTCCACTCCTGCCAACAGTGTGCACAGCAAGTCTAGTAACTGTACCACACCAAGAGCAAAGAGTGAACAGGATGACCACTCTGATGACAATGTAGTGGTCTCCTCCTTCTCCAGTGAGTCCTACCCTAAGAAAGAGGCTGAAGACGTTGAAGCAGAACAAGAAGAAAACGAAAGCAATGAAGTCAGCTCAGTGTCAGCAAAAACAAAGCCCAGCCAATCAATTAGAGATGAGAGCAGTGAAGGTGAACGATGCTCTACACTAGGAACCCCCCCTTCCAGAGCTAGTGACAGGAACAGCAAGAGAAGTGACAGTGATGAGATCATTCTGTGCAATGCCTCCTGCTCTTCCAGAGGATCCAAAAAGAGCAAACACAGACATACTCATTTGGATGCACAGTCTGAAATGTCTGTGTCTTCACTTGAATCCACTTCAAATAAAAAGAATTCCCTACATGCAGATGATCTGAGATCAAGCAGCAGGACATCTAATTACTCCAAAAGCTCATGCGAAATTAAAAAAAAATCTATCAGAGACCCCACATCTCATAATTCAGAATCTTCTCTGCACTCGAACATTTCATCTACTAGTGAAGCAGAGGCAATTACAGGTTTTACTGAGGAAAAAAGCTTGAAAAGTACCACCAATGGCTACAGTGAATCCTCAAAAGGCTCAAAAAAGAGAAGCCATAGAGAAGAAAGTAGCAAGCCATCATCCCTCTGCTCAAGTGTTTCAAGCCCTAATGGAAAAGCTGGAGAGGGTCATTCCAAGATTAATTCAGAGACCACTTCTTCAAGACAGGGAAGTATGAGTGAGAGTGTGTGTTCAAAAGGTGACCATTCTCGAGAGGGTCATTACAAGATTAATTCAGAGGCCCTTTCTTCAAGACAGGGAAGTATGAGTGAGAGTGTGTGTTCAAAAGGTGACCATTCTCGAGAGGGTCATTACAAGATTAATTCAGAGGCCCTTTCTTCAAGACAGGGAAGTATGAGTGAGAGTGTGTGTTCAAAAGGTGACCATTCTCGAGAGGGTCATTACAAGATTAATTCAGAGGCCCTTTCTTCAAGACAGGGAAGTATGAGTGAGAGTGTGTGTTCAAAAGGTGACCATTCTCGAGAGGGTCATTACAAGATTAATTCAGAGGCCCTTTCTTCAAGACAGGGAAGTATGAGTGAGAGTGTGTGTTCAAAAGGTGACCATTCTCGAGAGGGTCATTACAAGATTAATTCAGAGGCCCTTTCTTCAAGACAGGGAAGTATGAGTGAGAGTGTGTGTTCAAAAGGTGACCACTCAACTCAGACTGGGATTAGAAATGGAACTTCTGCAAGTGTCTCTTCAAGGGTCTCTTCAAAGTCGGAAATAAAAGATAAATGCTTGTTGACACAGATATCCCAGGAAAGTAATGACAGGTATTCACAATCAGGCATATCTCAGTCTTCAAAATCAAGGCAGATAAAAACGAGAAATCTTCATGTGAAGATGTCGAACTCCAGCCGAGCATCATTGTCTGGGACTTTGTCAGTATGTAGTACACGTTGTCCTGCCCCACCAAAAGGGAAGCCAAAGAACAAAAAAATACGTTCAACTATGTTGAAGAATTCCTCCATTAGCAGTATAGGTACTGAGTCAGTGCTGACCACAGGAAAAGAGCAGAAAGAAATTGTAGATTCCTCCAAAGCGACTTCCTCTGGGTCTAAATCAGCTGCAAGCAAAATAAATGATAAGAAGAATGAAGAGATTGATGATTCTTGCAACAGAAAAGTTGAGGAAGGGTCAGAAGGCACGGGCATGCAGCAGGAAGGGAGTGATTTAACGCCATCGACTCTACCAAATACATCTCCCGAAGAAGTTGTGCAAGAATGGCTAAGTAAAATCCCTTCAGAAACACTGCTTATGAAATATGAAATGGAGGATGATGTAGAAGAGGAATGCGTAGAGGCAACCACTACGGTATCACATTGTACAAATGCTGAGGAAATCTCAGATGATGAAAAAGCTGAGAAAAAAAATGTGGAGGAGGCTGAAAATGAGGCAAAGGATGAAGTGGGAAAAGAGACAGGAGAAGGCACTGCTGTTGATGAAGAGGGTGAAGAATACGTGAATCAAGAACCAATCTCTGAGGTTGTGTCCGAAGCTGCCAAAGCCGACCAGGCAGAATGCAGCCAGTCAGTTACATCCAGCCAAAATAACAGAAGAGACCTGCCAACCTCTGTCCAGACTTCTGTCCAGATCATGAAGGCCTTACTCAGTTCAAAACATGAAACTAAATTTGACCGATCGAACAGTTTGCCTGAAGTATCCCCCACTATGGGGAGAAAACTGAGTAACTCTGCCAACATTTTGATTACTTGTCTTGCCAGTCTCCAGCTCCTTGATGAAGAGCCAGATGATCCATCAGATAAACCAAAATGTTTGAATAAGCCAAGGTATATGGAGCTGCTGAATATTTTTCAAGCCCTGTGGTTTGGATGTACAACTGAAAAAAGTGGTCCAAGTTCAGGTCAAGAGGCAAGTGAGCAGGCAAAGACAGCCTCTGGGTTTAAAGCCCGAAAATCTGTAGATTATGACTTCACTCCCATGTCCTCCTCTGGGGTTGATGTTAGCAGTGGTTCTGGTGGCTCAGGAGAAGAGAGTACAGCTGGTACCAGGGACTGCACTTTAATGGCACAGAAAACTGCTGAATTCAAATCAGCTGGACAAGTGGAAAATGGAGAGACTGGCACTGAACTGACTGAAGTTGAGGAGCAAAGTAAAGAGGAAGAGCAGTCATCCCAACCTTTGACGGCCTGCTCAAAATCAAAAAGTGAGGAAAAATCACAGTCTACTAGAGAGGACTCTCTAATTCAGGAGACAGAAGAGAATAAGGAGGATCAGCACAGTAATGGTGAAAATGCTCAGGAGGAAGGGGAAGAAAATGAAAACAAAGAAACCAGCAAATTAACAGAAAACGGAGAACAAGAAGATGAAACTGTGAATGATGAACTCCCAAAAGAAAATCTTGAAGAGGAAGCTGATCAGCTAGCCACTACTGATGATACAAATGCCAGTGATGCTGATTGTGGGACAGAACTGAAAGCTGATTTGGAAAAGCAGCTTGAAAAAGAGTCTCCAAATGACCCAGAGCCCCAAGTCGATACAGCCACCAGTGTGGGTACATCCCTTGTCCAGCAAAACTCAATGGATCCAGACCCAATCTGGGTCCTGAAACTGCTCAAGAAAATCGAGAAGGAGTTCATGGCTCACTACGTCAGCGCCATGAATGAGTTCAAAATCAGATGGAACCTGCAGAACAACCAGCAGATGGATGAAATGATACTGGAGCTAAAGGAGGAAGTGAGTAAAAGGATACAAAAAAGTATAGAGAAGGAGCTGAGGAAGATCAAAGCCAGAGCAGGGAAGAAGATTCTGAGACCTCCAGATGAACCACTCAAGCGTGAGTCAACACTCCAAACTGAGCAGAGGAGACGGCGATTGCAAACCATGCATAAGAAGTCTCTCTTTAGTGACAAGAATGGAACCCAAACTAGGCTCGAGGATACATCAGACTTATCATTTAATGTAGATGAAGATATAGCATTTAGTGCAGCTTTTGAGGCCAGTATTAGCAAACAAACAAGTGAGGAGGAATACTGCCCATGTGACTCTTGTGTGAGGAAAAAAATGGCTTCCAAGCCCACAAGAAACCCAGTGGTGCCCACCAATGCCCCAGTCATGAAAGCATTTGATCTACAACAAATCCTGAGGTTCAAGAAAAATGATGAGGAAGCCTGTACCTCAGAAGCAGCCCAGGACATCAAAACAGTTCCCAGCAGTTCTATGGAGGAAGCAGCAGAAAATGGCAATCCAAACGAGGAGAATGATGAGGGTGAAGTCCAGCCAAGTGAACCGGAAATGGAGGGCGATGAAGAAAAGGGGACAGAAATAGATGAAATGGGCAGCTCAACATTGAATGGGGTTGGAGAAGGGCCTGAAATATCAGAGAGTCAAAACTGTGAGATGGAGGATGAAGAAGATGAAGAAACGAAAGAAGAAGAAAAGGAAGAAGCAGAAATGGGGGAAGAAATAAAAGAGAGAGGAGAAGAAGAGGACGCAAAAGAGGAGGAGGAACAGAAAGAGGAAGAAAAAATAATGAAGTCAGAAGAAGAGGAGGAAATGAAAGCGGAGGAGGTAGAAACAAAAGAGGAAGATGAGGAAGTAAAAGAGGAAACAGCTGAGGAAACAAAGGAGGAAGAGGAAATCAAGGATGAGGAAGAGAAAGAGGAGGAGGAGGAGGAAGAGGAAGAAGGAGTGAAGGAGGAGGAAGAGGAGGGAAATAAAGAGGAGGAGGAGGGAGAAACAAAAGAGGAAGAGGAAGACATGAAAGAGGAGGAAGAAGTGAAAGAGAAGGAAGAGGAAGCAGAGGAGGAAGAAGAAGAAACAAAAGAGGAGGAGGAGGAAGTGAAAGAAGAAGAGGAAGAAACAAAAGAGGAAGAGGAGGAAGCAAAGGAAGAAGAGGAAGAAACAAAAGAGGAGGAGGAGGAAGTGAAGGAAGAAGAAGAGGAAGAAACAAAAGAGGAGGAAGAGGAAGTTTTTCAAAAGCCTTAAATTGTACGCTGCAAGAAAGTGAGAAAACTTGTGGGTTGAGATAAAGGCGAGCCCATCGAACAGGAAGCAAAGGAGGAAGAGGAAGAAACAAAAGAGGAGGAAGAATCAAATGAAGATAAGGAGGAAGAAAACAGGGAAGATGATGAAGAAGAAGAAACTCAAAATGAAGAGCAGGAAGCTGAAGAGAAGTCCAAAACTGAATATGAAGCTGACGATGAAGGTGAAGAAGCAGAGGAGCCTGTGGATGAGGACATAGGGGCTGATGATGAGGAAGAGGCATCTGAATGCAGAGGAGATGCTGATGGCTCTGGAGCTGACAACAACCCTGAAGGAGGTGCTGCAGAAGGAAGTGAAGGAGATGAGCAGGATGAAGCAGAGGCAGTGGAAGATGCACAACCAGAGTCAGAAGATCAGGCATGTTCAGCTGAGGAGGAAAACAACAGTGAAGGAGGTGACAAATATGATGAGAATGATGAGGAACCTACCAGTGGTGACCCTGACAAGGCACATAAAAAACACAAAGACAAAAGCAGTAACAAGATTTCTGAGAAAGCCTTAGAGGTCAATGGCAAAAAAAACAGCAAAAGGCTAGAGACTCTGAACAAAGCAGCTGCCTTTTCTTGTTATTCTTCTGTGGGAAACTTCTCACAGCAGTCCCAGAAGGGGTCTGACGATGAAGGGGAAGAGGAATGCAAAGATGACAATAACCCCATAAGTGACCCTCCCAATGGAGAGGTTCAAACTGATGAGAGCAGCAAACCCTCACAGATGTATCCTGACAGTGAGGAAGAAGAAGAAGACAAAGCATCTTCATGCACTGATCCTTCGGGAGATGAGGACCAGGCAGATGCTGAAGGTGTACATCCAAAGGAGACTGAACATACTGATGAAATTGAGGCTTCTAAAAAGAAAGAAGACTCTGATAAGATTGACCAGGATGACCTGGACTTCTAAAACTGCTTATCAAAAACTGGTTTTTTCCTTCTTTCTTTCTTTCTTTTTTTAAAAGTATATTTTCATTACATATTACAGTATCTCCAGTGAGTTGAGACATCATAATCGGCTTTTCTTCTGAGTTAAATGTGGTAAACTTGATCTTGAGTCCTGTGAGTAATGTTGCAAATACCTGCCCTCATTTCTAGAGGGCTAGTAAACTCATTAAGATTTAGTGGTTTCAATAGAAAAGTGAAAGGGAAAGACTTGGGGAAAGGGAAGGCCGTTTTGTTCGTGATACCTCCTTGTTCCTACTCTGTTTGCTGCTTGAGTGATCTGTGGCTCTACTGGGCATCATCTCAGAGTGACTTCAGGATGCCTTTCATCTGTTGCACGCCATTTTCCTGGAAAGATTGCCAATCCACAGAAATGTGACAAAATCTGGATTTATTGCCAAAGTCTGGTCAGAGCCCACAGAGATGTACATTCACTTCACCCCTACCCTACCCTCTCTGTACTCGGGAAAAGGGTCTGAGATATCAAAGTCTTTCCCCACTTTCCCTAGTTTTCTTTATTAGGGGTTGAGATCATTCCTCACTTCACTGGAAATCCTCAACACCGAGAAAGGTCATTCCAGTAGATCTCTCCTCTTCCAGACCACCCATCTGTTGTACTGGGCTCATCACTGTAGTATGTGATCATGTAGTGGTAGATAAAAAAGATGAGTTAATTCACCTGACAGGTATCTGAGAAGTGTTTGAATGCAATATTGACCAAATTGGAAATGAGTAAATTTGATTCCTTGTGATTACCTTTACTCTGCCAGTGATGGTATCTAAGCACTTTAGAATCATCTGGGATCCCTCAGACAATTCTGTACAAGGCCCTGTTCCAAAACTAATAGGATGTGCAATTGCTCGGTGCCTCGCCCTTGCAACCAAGCAGTAAAATTTAAACTAATTTTACTTTTAACAAGGAGAAGATTTGGGCATTTGTGCTGCAGCAAACAGCTGGAAGAGGCTCAAGTGTTTACTGGAGAGGCTGGGCTTTACAAACCTTGATAAAACTGCAAGCTTCATTTAACAACTGTTTTCTACCAGATCATATCATCTTTTTTTTTTTTTTTTTTTTTTTTTTCCTGGGGTAATATGTACATTTCTGAATAAATACCCAGCTAACACCAGGAGAAGTTTGACCATACCTTAACTGCATACATCTGTCTACCTCTTTGGGAAACAGTCCATTTTATCAACAATTTGCAGGGAGAATAAAACAGCAAAAAACTGAGAGAGTGAAAAAAAAAAAAAAGCCTTAAATTGTACGCTGCAAAAGCATGTGTGTAGTATTGCTCCAGGGTTGAGGAGGTGCATGCAGACATATTGAAATAATCAAAATTCAAATTCAAATTATTAATATTGCTATCATTTTAAGAATCCATTTCTTAAACTCATAGCCAACCAATTGATTTCCAGAGATAAGATTCATTTCACTCAAATTAAGAATTGGGTTCAGCTCCAGAGGTACATACTTAAATTTATGTGTCTGAGAAACAGTGGTCTATGTGGAGTAGTCAGTGGAGAGCTAGATCTCAGCTGAGCTGACCTCACAAAGGCTTACAGTGCCATCTGAGATCCTCCAGGGAGTCAGAGACAACCACACCATCCCCAAGATCCAGGCCTTCCTAAAAAGAAGGGCAATCCTATCTGTGAGCCTCATGTGGATGCCTTGGGTTTTCTAGGACATCTCAGGTGGAACTATGCCTCTCTTTAGATGCAACTCAGTTGAACCCTGACTGTCTCAAAGTTTGATATCTCATCTCATCTCATCTGGTAGACTCAATTCCATGATTTTCTGTAGAAAATTCCATATCTAAGATTACTAACTTTCAGACAGCTTAAAGTCCACGCAATTCTTCAAACACAGATGTTTAGTACCAGTTGAGATGGCCTAGGGAATTCAGTATCACACCCCAGTGTAGGTCTAAAGGGGTGCAGATCTCCTATAGGTCCAGGGTCATATCACAAGCTCCTTGTAAATGTCAGGAATGCTCCAGGGCACCTTAAACCGCATTAGTCATGGATGTAAAAAAACACTGAATCCACCCCTAAAATTGTGTAAACAAATCCCACCTCAAGAAACTGAAATACAAGGTTAAAATTGTGTTAAAACTCATTTGGCTTTGAAGTATAGGTGCCATGGTTTAACCCCAGCTGGCAACTGAGCCCCAAGCAGCTGCTCACTCACTACCCCCCCCCAGTAGGATGGGGGAGAGAATCAGAAGGGTAAAAGTGAGAAAACTTGTGGGTTGAGATAAAGGCCGTTTAGTAGGCAAAGCAAAAACCGTGCACGCAATCAAAGCAAAACAAGGAATTCATTTACCACTTCCCATCGTCATGCAGGTGTTCAACCATCCCCAGGACAGCAGGGCTCCATCACACGTAATGGTGACTTGGGAAGACAAACGCCGTCACCCCAAACGTCCACCCTTCCTTCTTCTTCCTCCAGCTTTTTACGCTGAGCATGACGTCATACGGTGTGGAATATCCCTTTGGTCAGCTGGGGTCAGCTGTCCCAGCTGTGTCCCCTCCCAGCTCCTTGTGCACCCCCAGCCTCCTCACTGGTGGGGTGGGGTGAGCGGCAGAGAAGGCCTTGGCTCTGTGTAAGCCCCGCTCAGCAACCCCCGAAACATCCCTGGGTTATCAGCGCTGTTTCCAGCACAAACCCAAACCGCAGCCCCGTACTAGCTACTGTGAAGAAAATTAACTCTGCCCCAGCCAAAACCAGCAAAACAGGAAAATGAAAACTTAATTCTCCTCTGATACAGCAATACTTATGCATTTTCTAGTATCTCAGTCTTGCACTAACAGGTTGATTCGCACATCGAGGGTACATAATGAACACCATACCTGCTCCAAAGGCCAGCCCTGTAGCTTCTGTACCGTTAAAGATCCCTTTAAGGTGCTTTTTGAAGGTTCAAGAAGAAATCGCCATGCATGAGCTCAGTGCTGGGCTTTGCGCATAAGTGAGCACTGCTTGTACGAGCTGGATTTGATTGCAAATGCCTTCAAGCACCCACCGTTCACAAGGCTTGATAGTCCTACTGAATACTGCTTGTCTAGGCTTATGCTCGTGGTTAAAGACAGCACCCACACACAGCAGCGATCCCTCTGGCTTTTACTGTCTGGGTCAGAAAGAAACAGTGCTGCTGCATGGCAGTTTTCCCCTTCTGTAGTGATGTCCCACGACACTAGTATTCCTCCACACTATTAAACCTTACCAAGGTTTCCGTAAACCAATTCCAAAACACTTTTTAAGGTGCCCAGTGTGAGAAATTTCAAAAATACAGTTATATCCATTGATTTATAATTAAAGGAAAGGCACCAAGGAGAAAGTCACTGCTGGACTGCTGTCACGCCACTAAGTCTAGGCCTGTGTGTCAGGTTTTTTGTCCTGGTTTCTCCAGGAAACGTGAAGAGACAGGGTCTCCCAACAATTATTCAGAGTGTGACACAAGGACTGTCATCTGGAGGGGTGAAGTCCATGGACCGTAGCATCCTAACCCAGTCACTTTGAGCAAATGTTGGACTTCAAGCTCTGACTACTCCTGCGACTTGGAAGCTGGCCAGGTACCACCAGGCTGCTTGGTTCAAAACCCAGCCTAGGGACACTGGGTGAAGGCTGGGACATCTTTGTTCACTAACGCCTGCTAGGGAGCTATTCCAGATGCCAGAGAAAAAAGTGTTTGCCACTGAAAGAAACCTGTTATTCAGTGCTTGTCAGTCCCTGCAGAACGGCTGGCCCAGCATGGCTGCTCAGTGGCCATGCAGTGTGCATCCCTCCATGTCAGCAGTGACTAGCAGGTACAGAGTCATGTGTAGAAGCACTGTGGTTTGACAGGGAGCAAAGCAAAATGTCTGCTTTCTGACACATTGATTCTTGCAGGATTCAGAAAGGCACTGAGCTGGGTGGTCATAGCTCTGATCTTGGCAAGACATACACACACTGGAATTGATACGCGTTGACTTAACTTTATACTTTTCTGGTGAAGATGTCTCCTTCTGAGCCTGCCATCCAGACTCCCATTACAACCAGCGGGGACAGAGAAGCGAAGAAGAGAGTGATTCATCTGCTGTAGACAACTGCATTAGGAGGAGAAGAATTACACTCTCAGCAGGCCTGTTTCTCTCTGCTGAGTGCACAGGGAGTCTAGACAAGTTGCTCAGATGGAGATGTCTCACGTGGGAAGAGCTGAACCCAGGGTAGCTACCCAAAAGCATCTCAGAATGCTTATGGTGGTGACTTGCAGACTGCTCAAGCCAGTCATCCCATGGAAGTTTTAAAAGTGTTTGTTGGCTCCAAGGTCAACCTTTTCTGCTATTGCTAAAAGTCACAGCTGGAACTTAACAGGATAGGGAAAGGGCAAACATTTCCCAGGATCTCTCCTCTAGCTGTTGACTTTTATTTTAAAGCCTCTTGTGCATAGTCAACATCACACCCTATCCATGTTGAGTCAGTAAGTTCCCCGCTTGCAGCACCAGCAAGGAGAGAGCAATCAAATAGAACACAAAAATGCACTCATTAAACCATGAAAACTGAAATCACTGGAGTTCCCCCCCGTGAGACCTGTCCCACTCATGTCTGTGTTTGTCACCGTCTGTGTTCGGGCAGTGACTCACACACGTGCCCATCCTCGTTGAGGCAGCATGAGTCTGCACACACACAGCCCGCTCACAAAAAAACCCATTCAGAGGGGCTGGGGAGCAGCTGCAGAGTCGATCCAGGAGACAGATTTTGCTGAAGTAGATGTTTCTTTCCTCCATCAGTTTCTCCCAGGTTCGCCCAGAACATCCGTGAATGAAGCAGGCAGCTGAAAAGGATCCCTCGCAGTTACGTCTCTCGCACTTGCACTGCTTCCAAAGTTTACATTTCCCCTCGGCTGGTATGACTCACATGCGTGTTCGGTCTTGCAGCTTCCCTCTCCCTCTTCCAGCACAGGAACACGTGTTACCAGCCAGCTCCAG